CCCCCCCCCGGCTTCCTCCATGGACGGAGGGGGCATTTTAGGGAGCCTCCCCACTTAACTTCCCACTCCTGGGACCGCAGAGCCCCTTTCTCCCCCACACACACTTCCCACAGGAGCGCTGATGGCCCCCCTCCCCACAATGAGCCCCCTCCTTACCGGGGGATCTCCTTCCCTCCCCCTTCGCTTCCAGGGATCCGGACCGGCAGGATCAAGGCGATCCCAGCAGAGCATGTGGAGGCTGCAGCTGCCCCAGCAGCGGAATAGGTGGGTCTGGCCTGGGAGGGAGGGGGGAGGAGTTTCCCTAGAACTTCGGCACGGGGAGGGGCCCAGCCGAGCGGGAGAGCCAATGAGAATTCTCCCTCCCGCCGCGTCATCGGTCTCCGGGAAGAGTCCTGTTTTTTTTTTCTTCCCCTGGTGGAGGGGAGAATAAGAGGGAGCGAGAGAAGCTGATGAAAGTGGGAGGGGGATCCTTCCAGTGTTTGGAGAGGAGGGGGCGCAGATCGGGGAGGTGGGGGTGTTTCACGGCAGCTCCAGAGGGGAGGGGGGGACTTCTTTTTTTGCCCCGCCCCCACCAGGTCCTACCTAGAGTGGGAACGCCCATTTCCTGGGTAGGAGTGCCCCTCCCCCAATCAGGGGTGTGTGTGGGGAGGGGGTCACTGTCTTGCACGCCCCCTCCCCCCCCCTCTTGAAAGCTGCCTTTGGCTCCCTTCCTGGCAAAGGGGCTGCCGGAGGGCAGGTTTTACCCCCAGCGCTTTGGGGTTTTCTGACCCACCGCAAATGGCAGGTTGGGTTCCATTCAAGATCCCGTTGTGGATCTCAATGGGGGGGAAAACCAGAGGGGAGGAAGCAGGAATCCCTTTCTTTTCTTCTTTCCTTTCCTTTCCTTCCTTCCTTCCTTCCTTCCTTTTCTTTCTTCTTTCCTTCCTCCTTCCTTTTCTTCGTTCCATTCCTTCATTCCTTTCCTTCTTTCCTTCCTTCATTCTTTCCTTCCTCCTTCCTTTCCTTTGTTCCTTTCCTTCCTTTCTTTCCCTCTTTCCTTCCTTCCTTCTT